TCCAGACACAAACACACACTTACCGTCACTCTACCTTTAACCTTAGAAGAGCGGATGGAGAAAAGGCAAACCCAAGTGGAAAAATTTGTTATACAGATGTCAAGTGTGGAGGGCTGCTTTTCTGGATCCAGCGTCTCCTCTTCCCTGTGGCCTCTTCTTCTCTTCTAATCCTCTCCCTCTCCATGACCTTTTCCCATCTGATTATCTGCTTCTTTCTCATCTTTTTCTCTCGCTCTCTCCTTCAGCACTGGCCTTTGTGTGGCTGCTTCGACTAAGGACTATTTTGGTTTGAATGTATTGAATTGCTTTGTTTATTCAGGCGCTCTTTGAAATATGCAGCCCTTAACGTTGTCTCCATATTAAAGGAGTAAACCAGTGTGACGTATCTTCTGGCCATCAAGGCAATGCGCCTTAATCCAAGTAAGAATACTGTAATCCTTTACTTTTCTGGGTTGAAAGTGTAGAATTCCCATGATCGTACAGGCAGAGTTTTCACTAGCTGATTTAGCTTGAAATGGTCAAGGCTAGCTGAGAATAGCCTAGCCCAGCATACAACTCTTTAGCTGGGACCAAGTGTTAGATTAGCTTGCAATTGTCTGCTACATTGTTAGTAAAAGTTTTCTTCTAAGAATGGCTTTTTAAATGATCAAGCAACATTGCAAGAAAAGCAGGCAGAAAGGGAGGCCCACGTATGTGCTATACCCGTGGGGAAAGGCATTGTCTGTGTTTTGCACGTGGCCTTTATGGCCTCAAGCAAATTCTCCACGTAAGTTTAAGAAGTATTTGATTGAACCTTTGCCCAAGGGCCAGATTGGTTTCGTGTGCACATATTGAGGGTAGAAAAGAAGATTTCCAGACTCCTTTGAAGACTGGGCATCAGTCAGACAAGAGAGAGATGCATATGTACCAATGCTACCAATGCGAAAGCATTCATAACATTATGGTGTTTAATATTGTCTTATTTTAAGGCAAGATTTTTCAATTTCATGGTTTGGCTCAGTCAGCTGATTCTATTCTATTCTATTCTATTCTATTCTATTCCTCTTATGTTTTGAGTGCTCTGTGACAGGAACTTCTCTTTGCAATTTGGTCAGTGCCAAAACATAAATTTTAGGACTTCGTATTTGTGCATTTTGTCATAAATAACAGTCATTTCAGACACTGCAGTTTTTATTTTTTTGACCTGGCTTTCTGGTCTCTTAGCACCTGTGAACCATTGCTTCAGTTTCCCACTCTAGCCCAAATGCATTTCAGATAGAATTGCTTTGATGTGAATTACTATCACCATAAATTTGTCACTGCTATTTTTACTTAACAGCATCCTTGATTAATGCTTGGTAGGTTGGATATAGGTCATTGGACAGCCCATCCTACAGATGCCCTGTGCCTCTTCAGACTTTAAATTTAAATGGCATTTAGTAATGTTTTTGTTTCCTTTTAAAGAACACTTGAGCTCTGGTATCATTACAGGGTTTCTGTGGGACATTGAAAAGCATTAAATATCATTAAATGATTTTTGTGAAAATTAAGGCCTCAAAAAGTATTAAAAGTCATTACATTTTATTCCTACAGGCATAAAATGTTTTAGGTGGTTTTGAATTAAAATAATATTACTAGTTTATTTTAGTTGAGCAGTTGAGCAAGGATGGCGAGAATGATTCTGATTTTATTACAATCAGTGTAAATGACGATCGATAATGAATAATGTACTGACAGTAACAAGGTCGCACCAGTTGAGGCTCGTGCAGCCTGTCTGTGTAAGAGAGACGCTCGTGGAGAAATCACAACAAATGAGCACAACTGCACAGACAAAGAAACTCACAGAAGAAACATACTGGTAAAAATTGAGTTTTCACATTTAAAACATATGATAAAGCCTAGTTAAGCAACATGAGACGACGAAGAGAGTGCTGGTTCCCGAATATCAGCACGATTGCAGATTTGACATTGAATTTTTTTTCATTCAATAAATGAGTAGTTAATATTAAGTGACTCAAAACGGTTAAAAAAAACAGTTTAAAACAGTTCCAAAAAAAGATCCCAGCAGAACAGTTGCGCATCTCAGATGATTCAGAATGTCTAGCATTCTACATCTCTTGGTACTTTGTTATATCAATTTTGAAATATCTGCAAATGTATTTTGACATTTTAAGCTGCTACATTTTAAGTCTGCTGATCTATTTCTAATTCAGTTTAGAGTGATACAGTTTATTTAAATTTTGTAGATTTTTTAAATATCCAAGATTATCATCATTGCATCGTCAAATTGAATGGTTAATTTAAAACATATAGGCCTGGTTTCACAGACAGGGCTTAGGTTAAGCCAGGATTAAGCCATAGTTCAATTAGGACATTTAAGTAGCTTTTATGAATGTGCCTTAGATAAAAACACTACTAATGTGCATCTTGAGATAAATGCCACTGTCAGATTTTAAGATCAGTCAGTGCAAGTTTCTTTCAGATAAAGGGGTCCTAGTATGCTCTTTTACAAAGTCTTGATTTTGTTTTGGGGGTGTACTAGAACAGGCTCTCATACTAGGTTGTTTGAAAAACACATTATTTTTCACATATTTTACATTATTACAACACCTCCTCTCTCCCCAGTCTGGCATGAAAGGCTCAAATAGTTCCTGTATCAAATAAAGGCCCGCCTTCTGAAATACAAAATGTGCTGTGATTGGTTCGTTTTTGAAAAGTGATTTCTGGACTTTGAGCTTTGTAACTTTGCAGGTCTTTTTTATGCTCAAACAGCAACATTACAGACTAACTAAAGTTAAAAAAGTGAAAAAGCAGAATAGGACCCCTTTAAAACTGCCCAGACATGCATTTTAGTCTGGGATTAGGCTTAAGCCTTGTCTGTGAAACCGGGGAATAAATGGTCAAAAGTTTTGATTTTTTAAGATTTTTTAATGTTTTTGAAAGAAGTTTCTTCTGCTTACCAAGGCTGCATTTATTTGATTAAAAATACAATAAAAACTGCAATATTGTGAAATATTATTTCAATTTATAATAATTGTTTTTTGTGAATATATTTTAAAATATAAATTAATCCTGTGATTGAAATCTGAATTTTCAGCATCATTGCTCTGGTTGTCATATTTTTCTATGGAAATTAAGTTGATCAAACGTGTCAGTAAAGACATTTTATAATGTTGCAACTGCAAAAGATTTTATTTCAAATAAATGCTGTTCTTTTGAACTTTCTATTCGTCAAAGAATCCTGAAAATTTAAATGTATCACAGTTTGCACAGAAATATGAAGCAGTAAAATGTGTTCAATATTGATGATAATAATAAGAACCTTGATTAATAATTGAGCACCAACAATAATTGATCATTACAGAGCAGCAAATCAGCATATTAGAATAATTTCTGAAAGATCATGTGACACTGAAGACTTGAGTAATGATGCTAAAAATTCAGCTTTGATAACAGCAATAAAAAATATTAAAATATAAAAAAATTTATTTTTTAATTAAAAGTTTTTTAATAAAAAAAAAAAAAAAAAAAAAAAGGCGTTAAAAAGACATTTAAAAAAGCATTAAATTAGATTTGATGATACCTGCAGAAACCCTGCATTAAGTGTCGTCTTAATGTCTCTTTCCATTGAATGGTTCATTTGATGGTCAAATAAAATCAGGTTGCTGATGTTACTTATTATGAATACTATAATTGAATTTAATACTCAAAATTAAACACACATCCCATGCGATTTACAAACTAAGAAAATGTAAAGGATAAATGCCAGTTGTGTACCTTTCTCAGGCTCATGCTGCTCTAATTGGTGGCCATAGCCAGACAACTAAACTCGTTTCCAGCAAGTTGCTACCCACCATTCACAGCCTGTCTGAGAGTGCCAAGAAGTACCATTCAGCATCCAAATAAACAGAGCAGTGGCTGAGCTCATTTGCATTGTCCAAATACCAATATATACAGTGGAAAGATTTGTATTGAAGCAACTGCTACAGAATCTCAATAGCTTTTTCGTGAACACTGAAAAGCCAAAAACGTACAGAGAAACTAGAAATATTAAAAGCAGAACTTGAAGGTACTTGATATTATGCTTGTAGAACAGATTTCAAGCCAAGGCCAGCAGAACAATGCAGTCCTACATAGCTGTATCTGCTCAGTTGATAACAAAGAATTGACAGATGCAGTCAGGGTGCCTGGGTGATGCAGAATGTAATAGTGTCCACACAGCAGAGAGCCTGAGGGAGGCCTTTAATGAGATGTGATGTATACGGCAATGAGACCCCATATGCCAGACGCCACATGGCTTTTCTGACATAGTAAACTTTCTCTGTAGCTCACCTTGTGCAGCATTGCACTTGTGATGTGGAGTGCTCTGATACGAGTCCTGAAACACAAGTCACGATAAAAAGATCAATTACTGGTAGAAGCAAGCAAAAATGTCTTGGTTGCATCAGCTAAATTTTCAAGATTGCTTTTGTTAACGTTGTCAGTTAGGTTTAGGGTAGGGTGTAGTATAGGCGATAAGATATTGTAAAACACGATAGAGCATTAACCTTATAGCACCACTTATTGGACATTTCATTTCCCAACTGCCGCTATACAGTACGTACAAAAAGCTATGTAATAAAATATTGCCAAATTCACGTTTGTCTGTTCTTGATTAAACTGAATGGACATTTAAATACTGACACGTTTCACATCAGCACCTGGTGGCGGTCTGGAGATATGTGATGGTTTTCAACTTAAAAGGTGAACGTTTTGAGTTTTACTTAGTAGAATATTTTAGTTAGTAGGTGGTTTAATTTTGAATTGAGAACAGCAGTTACATCTGTGAGGGTCAGACATTTGTGTATTATGTTGAAGTTCTTTATAAAGATAACAGCCAATTGGCGAGTAACTGTTAAATGTGCACACGGCACATTTGGTCCTGGTTTGATAAAAGGACTTTTTAAGTTGAAAGCCTTTTACTGTACTCATTCTGTCTTGCTTTACTGACAGACAATCTGGCTTTTGTTTGTGACATTTAGACATCATTCTATAGGAGGTATCTGTTGCTCAAGATGGCGGCTGGTCTGGTTTAATCGAGGACGGGTCAGGTAATTCTCACTGATGCTATCATATGTCATTACCAAAAGCCTTTGCCACATTCTGGGCTTTTGATCTCTCTCTTTCACCCTTGCTTCAGTCTCCACCTCTATTTTCTCTTAGACTGTATGCTGGTCCCAAGAGACCTCAGTTTAAGTTGGTCAGACTGGGCTGGTGGGCCTCTAGGTTGAGGTTAATGAAGAGGTGAAGTGAAAAGTCCCTGCTGTTTTATCGTGGCCCTCCCTGCTCTGGTAAGGAGATTTTCCCCCTCTGTTGGGGTTAATGGCTAGGGTGCGATATCATGTCATATATCAAAATACTTCATAATTCATATGGTCATCATAGAAGAGGTATATAGATGTCATTTTACAGTATGTATGTATGTATAAATAGCATTTTTAATGTCTCTTTTTTTATGTCATGTCATTGACCCACAGGCAATGTGTGAAGTCCAACATGGTCAAGGTTTAGGGCTTACTCTTGAGTTCAGAGAGCTGTAGCTAGTTATTGGCTCAGGGGACCTGTAAAGCAAGACTTTTGGAGTCTTATGGCCCTCATAACTGTGCTCATATGTTAGCTTTTCTTTGCTCCCTCACCCTCTTTTTTCCATCACATCTCGCTGAAGTGGCTTTAACCTCCTGCTTAAAAACAAAGACGTTTTGTGAGTGTGTTCCACAGACTGTCACTGTTTTTGTCTTGTACACTCACTGGTGTCGATTCTGCTCTGGACAAAGGCTCCTCACTGGTGTGGGATGGCACACAGGCCGCCACTCGGTGTTACTGGCACAGCAAACAGCTTGGGCGATGCGGGCAGATCCTGATATCACAGTGTTTTACTTGACCATATAGTACACGGTGTACACACATGACTGAAGCCAGATCTGTGTCATCAACATTCCTTGTGTATTATTTTTTTATTTTTTGTAGTAATCTTTTCTAATCTTTAAAAACATAAATAATTTAAAAACACTGTTGAATGCAATCTTTAGCGAATGCCAAAATCAACCCCCCCCCCCCCCCCCACTCAAAGTGAGTACTCGTGTGTTCTTTTTTAGATAAAATTGAAAATAATAATAATAATTATAACCACATATCAGACATGGCACTTATCAACTTATATACTTATCAGCTTATCGAAATTGGCGTTTCTTTCTATAGGCCGAGAGAGACCTGAAGAATCTTCTGCATTCTAGTCCGTGAATGTTAATGAGGTGAGGACCGATTTTTTTCCTCCTAAGATGTTTGGTTTTGGTAACAAAGCTGGGACGGGGTGCATTTCCCTTGTATTTGTCACCCTCTTTCTCTGTCACTCATGCTCTGGGTGTCTTTCGCACATTCTCACTGTGTGCCAGTTTACTGCATGTGACTGAGCTGTCACATGGAGCAGCAGAGAGCAGGCGCGTAGACATAAGTATAGTGTGATGTACTGTCCCACTCACATAGATGTACACTCTTTTACAGATAAATTTATGGAGGTGCAAGGAGCCTGTCACTGCAATCAAGATGTATTGTCAGTGGTGTTAAAAAAAGCTCCTGGTGGACTGCAGTTTTAGCCAGTTGGGTGTCACAACTAGCTGTGTGTTTTTGATGGGATTCTGGGTGGTTGGACTGTACATTTTGAAAATAATAGGTTGTGACTGGAATAAATTAGTGCTTTTTCTCTGTCCTTATTCGCTATCTTCTCTTTCTGCTTACTTGTTGTGTTTCTATCTGCATATAGTATGGAACACTCTCTGGAAGTTGATAGGTGAGAACTTTGGCATGGAAGAATACCTGGTGCCATCTGGTTTCTTGAATTTTTTTTTCAGTAATGTTGGAGGATAGTAACAAATCATGTTAAAAGAAGAGATGTTACATACTAGCCACCAAGGATGATGATGTCAGCTGTTCAGCTCCAATGAAGCATGCAAGAAACACAAGATTTGTGCCGCATCACTGAACACATCCCAAGAACAAGAGTTAAATGAAGAAGCAAGTAAAATGTCAGATTGGATGGATTAACGCTCATCATTCAGGCATCTAAAGGACAGTCCAAATGACTTAAAGAAATATATCACACAAAAATGAAAATTCTCATGATTTACTCATCATTAATTTGGAATACAAAGGATCAAGCATCTATTTTCTATCTATTTTTTGAATGGTTATATTCAGCAAGGATGCATTAAATTTATCAAAAGTGACAGTAAAGACGCATATAATATGACAAGAGATTTCCAATTCAAATAAATGTTTTTCTTCTGAATTTTGTTTATCAAACATTCCTAAAAAAAGTGTCATGATAGTATATTAGTAAGAAATGTTTCTTGAGCAGAATTAGAATGATTTCTGAAGGATCATGTGACACTGAAGACTGGAGAAATGGTTTCTGATAAATTCAGCTTTGCTATAACACAAATAAATTACACTTAGATATATTAAAATAGAAAACAGTTATTTTAGATTGCAATAATATGTCACTGTGTTTTTGATCAAATAAATGCTGTCTTGTTGAGACTTCTTTCAGCACCATTTAAAAAACCTTTTTCAAACGGTAGTATGTATTATGCATTCATATATTCATTTGTCATTATTAATTCCTCTTGATTTTATAATATATAGCTGTATCGAAGCGTGATGTTCTGACTTTTGACCCAGGAATATCCTGGAATATATTGCTTTTTATATAGCGTATATTTTCAATTCAATTCAATTCAATTCAAGTTTATTTGTACTGCGCTTTTCACGATACAAATCATTGCAAAGCAACTTTACAGCAAATTAAGTTTCTACAATATTTAGTGGTAGCTTATCAGTGGTGACTGTGACTGAGTTGTATATTTATATAGTGTATATATTTATATAGAATGTAGTTGAAAATATTGTGGTTTTGGCACAATATTGATAGAGTAATGACAGAATTTTCATTTTTATTTTTGATGAACTATCCCTTTAAACTTGCTGTTGGCTGTCACACTCCAACCCTGGAATGCAAGCAGTGGGATCTGAATGCCAGTCAGCTCTGAAAAGTGTCCCCATGACTGAACCTACACACTTGCATTCACACAAACAAGTATCCTATAGTGTTGTGTGCATATGTGTCTCTGTTTTCCATGGAACAGTCAACAGATACTCCCTCGGGAGTTCTGTTGGATCATCTAGTGCACATATGTTTACAGTATGTGCTGGTTTGCGTGTAAGAGTGTTTATTTGTTTTCATGGACCCTACGGATTGAAAATAACATCAGTGTTTACAGGGTCAATAGCACTATGGCCTTTAGTTTCCTAATACCACTACTTATCAATTTCAAATCCTGTATCAAGGTGAATATATGTTGAAAAAAATATGGTCAAAGTGATCTCAGAGAAGACAGAATTGTGCCAGTAACTTAAGGCCTCCAATTGACTTTAATGACTGTTGTAATTATATAACAGTGAGACGGCCTCTATCTCTGGGTCTTTCCCTCCTGCAGGCTTTTTCCCTCCTTTTTGTGTGCTCACTCTGCTGGTCCCTTTCATTGACTCCATTTGTACCTCGCTGTAATCGCTCTATAGAGTTTGGCTTGTCCTTCCTACCTTGTCTTCCTTTCTTTGTCAATCATCTTTCCCTGCTCTTTCTATTCATGTCTGTACTAGTTAGTGGATTTCGTCGTTCCACTCCATATGGTGGCTCTGTGATGGTCACATGACCTTGTTCGCCCTCATTAGATACGGATGTGTGAATGAGCATAGATTTTTATTGGGTGCTGTGATGCTTCCCAGAGGCGAGTCGTGAAAGCGTCCCATCTAATACTGTGGCCTAGTGAAGCAGGGTTAATGCACTCAGGGTGACAGCGTTTGATGTGTGTTTTTTTTTTTCCTTCAACAAAGGGCTGTCTGGGACAGCTATCAAGCAGATGATACAGGGCCAGGGACGTCTACTGAGGAGATCGCTGGTGTTGTCACAATCTCTGATGTGAATTGAGTTGTTTGCATCAGTGTTTGTCCTCATTACAGTGGTGGGAAGATGATTAGGCTTGATGCAGCGACTTGAGTGAGGGGTGTGAGGAAGACTGGTCGCTCAAGGCGCTGCAGGCATCCCAGTGGACAGAGGTTAAAATGTTTGGACAGGGAGGACAGACTAAGCATCCCCTGGTAGTGACTAGCCTCATAAAAAATAGCATGACAACCAGAGTAGATACTGCAACTGTTATATTCATTGAAACTTTCTGTTCCTGTTTTCTTTTCCTTTGACCAATTAAGGGGTGTCCAGTCCTCCTCCTGGAGGGCCACCTTCCATCAGAGTTTAGCTCGAACCGTTATTGAACACACCTAAACCAGCTAATTAAGGTCTGCAGGATTACCAGAAACTTCCAGGCTGGTATATTTGAGCTAATCTTTGCAGGAAATTGGCCATCATAGACGCATTACCAAAGCAAAAGTTGTTCCAAAGGTCAATACATTAATCCTGCTGCTTCCATCGAAACCTAATTGCATACATTTTGAGATAGCATTGAATGTATCCTTCCCTGGGAAGGCAATTTCAGAACACACTGTGATGATCTCTGTGTAAGTAGCGCAAGGCACTATTTGAGTTGCCCCCCCTTGACTCAAGAGTTAAATGTCGCCCATGTATCTATCCATTCTCCTGCTGCTTATCCAAGACTGGGTCACTGTGGTAGCAGGCTTAGTAGGGTCACGCACATGTCCTTTTCCCTGGAAACTTCCTCCTGGGGGGTCCCAAGGTGTTCCCAGACCAGCCTTGGTTTAACTTTGGGGCTCTTCCCAGTTGGACATGTCTGGAACACCTCCACCGAAAGGTGGCTGAACTACCTCAACTTGCTCCTTTTGACACAGAGAAGCAGAGGCTCTCCAAGATGTCCAAGCTCCATACCTGTCTCTAAGGGTTAGACCAGACTAGGGATGGGTATCGTTAAGGTTTTAACGGTATTAAGTCAAGTCAAGTCAAGTCAAGTCAAGTCTATTTGTACAGCGCTTTTCACGATACAAATCATTGCAAAGCAACTTTACAGCAAATTAAGTTTCTACAATATTTAGTGGTAGCTTATCAGTGGTGACTGTCAATTAATGTACATATGGCAGAAATGTACGGAAAAATCAATTTAAGACGTAATAAAACAGACGATGAACACTATTAACAGCAATTATATGGGGTGGAGTTATATTTAATAGACCTGAGAAACATTGTTACTGTACTGAAAGAGTTCAGTAAATGTGCTTTGAATGAGGCTGCATTATGCACAGTCTGAATTTAAAACTGAAGCAATTGAATTAACAGAAAACAATGCATTACAATAAAATCTACAGGTATTAATCCTCATGGGCAATATTTTGTGTGTATTTCATCGTTTGGACACGCGCCTGAAGCTCAAAGTGTAATTAACTTGTCCGTTTTGGAGCGCTTTGTGTGCACACATTTCAGCATGGGGAACAGCGTCTCTTGTGCGGATTGTGCTTTCAACGTTTTATTATCAAATATGTCCCACAATTTAGCAACAGTATAAGACGGTCTTTTTTCAACAATCACCGATTGTGCTGATTCTGACTTTTAAGTTTGGGTTTTAGGGAGGAATGAATGCGCACCGCTGTGAAGGGAAAAAAGTTGCGCTAGAAGAAACGCGGCTATAATCCTTAGAAGCCAAAATCTAAATAAAAAATAAAAATAGCTTAATAAAACAGCCACAGGCCTAAAGTGTAAGCAGATGTTTGAATGGTTAGTTCTCTCCTCTATCATAATTAAGCAGGGCTTTCATGTTGCGCGTGCTGAAGCTCCTCCGCACGAGCGCGATCTCGCTTCTGAGTTGCGAATAGCAAAAAGGCATCATAGACACATGTTTGAATATTATTGCATATAAAAACAGCTGGCGACTCTGGTGAGACAGGATTTGCAAGACAATGTATCTATAGCAATAATAAATGTATGTGTGTTTTTTAAATTTCTCCAGTACCGATAGCAGAACCGTTAACGTCAGAGCTTATCGATACTCCGATCTTTCATAATATAGCCCCGGGACTGATTAAATACCGGGTTTCGGTACCCATCCCTAGACCAGACACTCTCTAGAGAAAACTCATTTCAGTATATCTTGTTCTTTCAGTCACTACCCAAAGCTCATGACCATAAGTGAGGGAACCATGGTTGAAGATCAATTGGCAAATTGACAGCTTCTCATAACAACATGCTAACTTCAAGCTCTGCAAAGACCTGCCCCCCTTAGTTACTGTTGCTATG